TTACGTGCTAGCAGATGTCATCTCCGTCTTTGTTTATGAAGTACCATGCATATTTTGGCGTTATATTAATGTTGAAGAAGTAAGTTTAATTACTCTCAAAAAGTTATTACAGAGTGCGATGGAATTATTACAAATTGCGACAGCTTAGTTTATTACAAAGTGCGATGGACAGTTGTCGTTACAAATTGCGACCGCTTTTGTATTACAAAGTGCGACACGGTTTATTACAAATTGCGACAGGTATTACAAAGTGCGATGGATTTATTACAAATCGCGACAGGTATTACAAAGTGCGATGAGTATTACCAATTGCGACAGTACCGTGCCTGGTTTTGTAGCTAATGTAAGTTTGGCTCATGCTTAGAATTACAGTAATGCTATTAGTTGGGCACTAGACTTTTAAAAGTCACCGATCATTAAGAAAACTGTAGATCCTCAGGGTCAAAAGAGACTTAAACCCCTGTTAAAATGTCCTAGAACCGTTTTTAAAACGTGTCGTGGATCATCAGAACTGGTTGTCGCGAATGTCTTTGCTGAAAGAAGTCGACTTGTGTGAGCAATCCTAATTATCAGAAAACTGTTCAAGTAAAGAGAATCAAGACCGATCTAAAAACAAACGCAGTTGTTAGACTTGTTATGACTTGCGTATTTGCAGAATGAATTTTATGACCTTCAATTAAAAAAATTTGGCAGTAGAAACCCCACCCAAGATTCTCCGCAGTTTGTGTTGTACATACTATGAAGCGCACGTTACATATCCTGTATAATAAAGATAAAATAATTTGCGAAGCGTTTTCAGTCAGAGCTGTATCTGAAGAAAGGGACCCAAAAAGCTGGCAAAAAGATTGGCCTTTTTGCATTTTATGTTTACTCAGATTTCAAGCTGCTAATACCTTATACACCGAAAATCCCTGTGGTGAATAGAAATTTCCATTGTAAGAAAAAAAATAAAACAGAAAAATACATGGAGTTGATGATTATTGTGTATCTTAAAACTTTGTTTTTAAGCGTGGATAACATGACACTCGGAAGCATAAATTCGGATCAGATTGATTGCTGCGAGTATTAAATTCGCACGAAATTAAACTCGCGGAGAATGAAAAGTGCGAAAAGACCAACCGAAAAAGAAAAATACGTATCGTTTTCTCTGAGCGCTTCCTCAAGAAATGTCAATTCTACGAGCGCTAAAAGGAACGTAAATAACTGAGCATTTATATTTCAGGCACAAGCTATATCATCAAATACAAAATGTAATATGTATCCGTAAATACATTTGAGTTATGTGGACCTTAACTAAAAATTCGCACCTCAGTTATAAGGTTATTATTTTTAAATCATCAAACATACAAGTAGATCACAGTTCTCCCATACTTATCATACAGAAACCGATTTTCGCATACTGTCTTACCTGAACTTATGTCAACCAGTCTCTTCTATGTGATTATATTCTTCGTGAAGTTGTAACTATGCTTATTGCCGAGGTTTGCCGTGAGATCTAAAGTAAATATAAAATTATTCGAGAGCTGGTTGGTCCTTGAATCTACGTGGTCTGATTGGCTGGCAGCTCGAGATTGCGAAAGACACTCTAAGGCTCCGATAATAATTGCAAGAGATCTCGCCATATTTGACGTTAATTCAATTAAGGAGGAAGTGAACTTAAAAGTAGAACAAATTTATTTGCACTATTTCCGCCCGTCTAAAGAAGACTACACTATTATCGGCCGATTGAAAGCAAACAGTGGGCAGAAGTGTTGTTTCTTATTGTAAATCTCTGAATAGGCAATTTTTCGTCCGTGAGATTATAACTACAATGGAACCTAGATATAACGAAGTGCCGAGGGACTGGCAAAATTTTTTCGCTGTAACGAGGTTTTATTATATCGAGGTTCTTTTCCATATATTTTATAGACTGCGAGCAGTCTACCTTTTTCTTTAGGCTCTAGTTGTTCAAAAATTGGAGAGTGCCATCCACTGGATAAATCACTATCAAGAGGATAATTGTAGGAATTGTAAAACAATCCTTTATTTAGCTGACATCTAGCTCCATTAAGCGGACGCTATCGAGGGTACTGTGAGTGTTCGCTTGCCACAGGTTGTAAAGGTTTTTTTTTAGTTACGGACGGCAACCGGAAGTGAAATTGTTGCATTCTTGACTAGTGGTTTTGCCTAAATGTTTGGGTAAACATCTCTATAGGAGTAAAAACTCGAAGCAACACAATGTGGTAGCATTACGGCATATTAAGGAAAGGCCTCGTTTCGAGGAGTTGTCCGGTCCCGTTCGCTCAAAATCGCCCGTGCTTAATTAAGTTCCTTATTTAATTAGGAGACTAACGTCGACTCTTGTACGTTATGTCAGCAATCTGTAAATGCGGAAAATTAATGTTTAACACCGCTGTATTAAGTTGACTAAGTTGAAGAGGCTTGAGTATTGTCTGGATCTACTGCTGACATTATATATTATGGAGAAATGACAGTTATTTACACTTTTCAATAAACATAAACAAACGCTTGGAAATTTGTTGAGTTTTTCAACCTTAATAATTACAGGGTCTTTAG